AAACAAAAAACCCCCTACCTTTCCATAACCATTAGTTGAATTCAATTACTTGATATCTTGGTATTTTTTTATAGCAAGCTATTGGGAGGTAACTCTGCCATGACCAATACAGTTGCAAAAGTAACAGTATATTAAGAATGTAAGAATTTATATTCTTATATAAAAATTTAAGGATCTGTTTTAAGTCATATTCTTTTTAAGACAAATGAAATGTGGTAAGTTAAAAAGAGATTTTGAATGAAATTTTCAACATTTTTTTTTCTTGGAGATTATTGGTATATAGCATAGATTTAATACATGGCACGTGTTTGTTCCATCATCGTTTTATGATTTTACTGTCTGTTGAACCTGTCTCTCTATCAAAACACACATTGCTGTTAATACTTGTGGGAATTTGGTTATCCTTCCAGATTCTCAGTCAATGAATCCCATTTCTTTTGTACCAGAAACTGTTCCCATCACTCTAAACTTCAAAATTGAATTATATCTGTCACAGTGAGTGTTATAAGTGATACATTCTTAGCCAAAATTCAAGGGTGCCTAAATATAGAAATGCAAGTGACTATTAGGAAATTTTGATTAAACTTTCTCTTTCCGATTCTAAAATCATAGGTCACTTAAATAATTTCAATTTTTTGTACGATTGCTCTAAAAAATAAATGCCCTGGCAGCAGTGATATTTTTCTCAAAGGTATTTAAACACATCAGAAATGAACCTGAGAAAAATTAGGTATCAGGGGCACCCCATACACCACACATGGTAATACTATGATTGACTGAGAAAATTTAAATATTTCTATTAATACAGTATCTTAATCTGGCAATAGGTGTAAACTGCTGCGTCATTTAAACTAATCTATACTTATGTGTATGTGATACCTAGTTGCTTATTTGAGTTTCAGAGACACAAACCACACTGAAAATAATGTGTTGGACACATCATGACTTAGAAAAAAGGCATACTTATACCAAGTCTATGTGCCTCTGCAAATAACTGTATTTAATAGCTGACTATCCTTAGTACAGATATGAATAGGTCAAGACCCACATTGCATTTTACCAAATTGCAAGGATTTACTAAGAAAAGCGGGTTGCAAAACAGTGAAAGATTGCATATCAGAGTTCAATATGCACATACTGCAGGATACCCACTCAACAGAAGTTTCCTGAATTTAAGTATCTGCAGCTATAAAATAAATCCTATGGAGAACTTCAAATAAATATTTTTTTCAAATATTTTTTTCTCATCCCTAGTTGTCGAGACAAATAAGCTGAGAGGTAGAGATTATTATCTGCTGGAAAAGTTGTCTCATTTTTAGTGTGTTCAGGACCCAGTATAGGTCAGGAAGTGCAGCTTTTCCCCCTATGGAGCTTCTGCAGTATTTTTGTCTGATGGATCAGTTTCCTAAAAGTCAGGGAGCAGCTTCATTTCGTGAAGGCTGGGCTCCTTTGTTCTGTCCAGTCAACAGAAGAGTAGCGCTCCTGGGACTTTGTGCTTTTGGAGCCTTTATTCCTATTTATTTACAGTTCTGTAGCTTTAACAAAACTGCATGATTCCTGTCTCACTTCTCCTTTCTTGCTAAGTGAGAACAGTTGATATTTATATATAGGTGCATGGTGACTGGGAAAAGTGCAGAGAACTTTGTAAGGAAATTTTGCTTGTTACAGCTTGTAAACTATAATACAAGGGATGACATTAATGTGTTGTTTAAAAAGCTGCTGTCGGGCCAATGCACATGCATTTTCCATAATGTATATGTGCTTGTGTGTGATATTTAGACTGCCCCATAGCTGCAAATGTGTCTAGAAAAATGGCTTTGATTAATTGACTTCCCTCCTCTTCTCCTTTCCTCTCTTCAGATGCAAAGGCTCCATTCATTATCAAGGAAGATCAGCAGAGGAGGGGATCAGAGTAGCTGGGTCACACGCTGTTAGAGTGACAATTTTCAAAATGCCCTAAGTAAACAATAGGGAACGGGAAATATCTAGAGTGAGAGAGGACCCCTGTGTTCGAGGGTCCTCCTCCATTTCAAATATTTGGTCTTCTTTTACCTTTAGCTGTGCAAATCTGCATCTCTCCTTTGTATAAACATTTAATACATGTTACATCTTCAACTCTGCCTTTTTCATGTGTCATGCTTTTAGTCCCAAAGGTATTAGGAACCATGAATACTGATGCATTGATTGAGGGCTATTCTTTCCAGTGTTCCTTGTCCATCTGTTCCTTTTACTTAGGAAATTACCACCCATAAGAAATAATATACACATCTATAACTCTAAAGCCAAAAGTCATGCTTCACTAAATCAACTGACAATTTCCTTTGCTTCTGTTGGTATTTATACTTACATGAATAGCTCCCTCCTTTTGATGTGTGGTCATTTTGGCTGGGATAGAGTTAATTTTCTTCATAGTAGCTACTATAGGGTTGTGGTTTAGATTCATGCGGTGCTGATAATTCAGTGATGTTTTAGTTATTGCTGAGCAGTGCTTACACAGAATTAGGACCGTTCTGCAACTCACATCACCCCACCAGCAGGAGGCTGAGGGTGCACAAGAAGTTAGGAGGGGACACAGCAGGGACAGCTGACCCCATCTGACTAAAGGGATATCCCATACCATATTGTATCATGCTGGTACGAAGCTGGGGGAAGAAGGAGGAAGGGGGAGATATTTGGAGTGATGCCATTTGTCTTCCCAAGTAATGGTTAGGCATGATGGAGCCCTGCGTTCATGGAGATGGCTGACACCTGCCTGCCAATTGGGAAGTGGAATTGCTTGTTTTGCTTTCCTTGCATGTGTGGCTTTGCTTTACTTATTTAACTGCCTTTGTCTCAACCCATGAGTTTTCTCACTTTTACTCTTCCAATTCTCTCTCCAAACCACCAGAGGGGAGTGAGCAAGTGTCTGTGTAGTGCTTTATTGCAGGCTGGAGTTAAACCTTGACATAGTGCCTGTGTACTAATAAGCGTTTACTTCTGCTAGATTTCATGTATGTTCACAGTCTTTGTGCCTTGCATAATTTATCCATAAAATCAGAATTTTGCACAAGGAGAATAGTGCTAGTCAAAATCCAAAAGTTTGGCCCCATCTTTATTCATCATATTTTGCTTCTTCAGTTTAACATTGTTACTGGTTAATAGGTGCACCTGAAAATCAAGCTGTATTGTAGTATCTGGTGCGTTATGTTAAATGAATCTTTTTTTTTTCCTAATGAAGAAGAATACCTCATCTTTTCCAATTTTCCTATCAAACACATCCATATCATCTCGAGACACTGCCACATCCAGCTGCATCTATACTCAACTTCAATTATATGAAATTACACAACCTACTCTCAGGTCCTTTAGGTTCTCTTTTGCTGTGTAAGGCACACACATAGTGCATTTCCTGTGAAGTGCATGATTACAAACTATTCAGTATAAGCCTGTTTTAAGTAAACAGTAAATTAAATATTGTTAGTGCTTGTTTAGACATGCTCTTATGAAGGAAAAAGAACTTCTAGATTTGGGGTCATAAAACTCTAGATTTAAGAAAGGGCCAGCTATAAACTAGTCGTCCTTTTTCCTTTTTAACATCTCTTGGCTGACCCATTTGTTAGCTCGCACAAACCAATATTTTCAGATGCCCGTACAAGGAAAATTAGGCTAGAGAAAATGCTGAAGGTAGCAAAATTTCTGTTTAATGCTCTTTATTTGAATGGAGAATTCTCAAAAACATTCTGTCACTGTCAGGTACATTGCGGCCTGAAAGACTGTTAAAGAGTCTGTCTGAGCAACATACCTCTTTCAACCATGACAAATACAGTAAAAGAACATCATTTTATTACAGTTCTGGCAATATTATTTTCTGCTATGCCAATCAGCCTGACTACAGTAGTTAAGAAAGAAGGGAAACATTTGCTTTCCTAAGAAATGAGGGCTTTTGAGTATTTTGTGGTGTCTGCTACTTCAGGACTAGCACGGTCACTAGTATTTGGGGAAATATAAGTAAGTTTTATAAAAACCAGAAGCCCCAAGTGTGCACTTGCAAAGTCTCTTTTCATCTCTGCCAGTTAACTCATTCCCAAGAGAAGGCAAAACTGTTTTATTCCAAGTGGTCAAATATTGTTTTCATTCATTCTGTAGATTTTTCAGAGACTAGGAGTTGCACGTGTGTGTTCAGGGCTGCACATGATTTATGGTTAAATACAGCAAGTACCCCTTTCTTCTATTTTGTTTCTCTTACACTCAAGTATAAGTGTAAAAGTTCACAAATTTGTCGAAGGTATCAGAGGTGTATGAAATAGCATAACATATAGTAGATCATGTTTCCAGTTCCTCTCTTTATTACTAGATTTTAATGCGTTTTGTAAAAATAAAAAATAATCTAAAAAAGAATCAAAATATTTTAATCACTTTTAAAGCAGAGGTCCTTTGTAAAACAGTAAAAATATTAGTGAGAAAAGGAGGAAAAATAGTTGCTTTGCAAATTAAGAATGCAGAGATCTAAAGCAGTCTGATTTGTTCTTTGAAAACCAATATGAGAGTTAACTCAGAAACACAATATTAATAGATTTGTATGAGTGCACATAAGGCCAATATATTCAATGCTGTAATTTTTTTATGGTTTCATAAATAGTGCTATCACCAACATTTCAAAGAAATCTGAAAAAACCAGAGCTCATATGTGATGGCATAAATTTAGTGTATTTTATAGAACACTGTTACTCCAGATATAGCCTACGGGTTGTGACTTTTCATAAAACCTAATGAATTTCTAGATTTGTCAGCTGTTTCAACACAGATGCACTTTGCTGATCTAATGGAAACATTTTGAGCCCAGATCCAAAATATCAATAGCTTTTAGTATTGCAAATGAGTTTGGCTATTGGGTAAATGGGGATGTGGTTCTTGATAAAAAGCAGCAAGTGGATTTGTACATGTGTTTTATGATAACTGCCTCTCCAATGTCTGATACTGAGATTTTTTCTCTCTCTTCCCCCCCCCCTTTTTTTTTCCAGAGTTTTAAGTTGAATGTAGATAGCCACTGTGCTTTAAAAGAAGCAGTGGTAGAAGAAGGACGTCAACTTCTTGAGCTTATTGTATCTCACAAATCAGGTAAATCCTCTGAAATATTGCAAGTCTTTATGTCTTCAGACTATTAAAGAATGAAGAAGCATTGCTGTAAATTACTGCATATATTCACTTCCTTATGTATTATTAATATTTACATTATCAGATTGACCTTCAAGATTTATAAATGTTTCATATACTGCATACAATGCAGTGATACTTATAAAATGAAATACTGCCTTCACATAGTCTGTTCATTTTATTTTGGACTTGCTGCTCAGCTGAGTTTCAATTGAAACCACATCATTGAAAACTTCACACTGACACATTCTATGATGTAGGTGCTATGGAAATAACATTAAGATAATGAATTAGGATTTCAAATACATATATAAATATTTACCTATTCTGCATGGGTAATTGCATCGGTAAAGCTTTATTTAGCCACTTTAAACTAATTCTCACATTGATTTTAATACATTTATGAGGAATAGATTAAAATTAAAAATACCTTTTTCCTTTGGTTAGGCTTGTCTTTTTCTGTAGAGGCCTTAAATCAAGAGGAGGGGAAGAGAGATACTGATTTTCCTTTATCCCCACTACCACCTATATTGTTAGGTGTTTGTGTGACTTGTATGATAATACAGTTTCAACCAGCCTATATTGCTATGGAATGCCATTTTAATTTTGGCCTACTTAGCATGGTTTTCATCCAGGTTGAAGTTTCTCTTTGGTCTGTGCCTCTATTGTTTCATAGCATGAGACAGATCTGTGTAATATGAAAGCTATAGGAAATGAGTGACTTCTGTGTATAGTTCCAAAAAGGTATAGAAGCCATAGCAGAGAATGATGGTGCATATCATTATATTCTTAGAAATAGTAATGTGTAAACTACAGAAGATATTTCCAGGAGTCAGAGGTAAGAAAAATGTTTTTGGAAGACTATGAAATGTTTTGAGATAAAGACTAGATATTGGAGGTTAAGATTAACTTAGCGTTCCCCATTGCATAGAAATCACAGTTTTTGTGGGATTTTCCTCTTCTTGAAACGTGATCAAAATTTAACAAGATAGCTAAAAGACATGATTTGACCTTATAGCATTGTTTTGCAGTATGAACTATAGTAATGCTTGGATTTATTGCTGAGAAAATACATTAGAATTATTATTGCTTTTATTCTTTAAAGAATAAACATTTAAAGATGCAGTTGAGTTTTCAGCCTTTACATTTTTTCTCCTTCGTTTTGGAGAAGGACTGAAGGACATGCTGCAGATGATTGCAAGTCAATGGAAGGAACTACAGAGGCAAATCAAACGGCAACACAGCTGGATTCTTAGGGCCCTGGATATCATCAAAGCAGAGATACTGGCTACTGATGTGTCTGCAGAGAATGAGGAAGGGACTGGGAGCCCTAAGGTAAGTGGCTTGAAGTTTGCCTTATTTCCTCTTATTTCCGTCTTCTTTTGAACTAGGCACCACTGAAGTTTTCTTTCCACCCTAAGGCTTTTCATTTCCACTGGGTAAACTTTTTTTTTTTTTTTTTAATAAACAAAATGAAATGCCTTACTCTGAAACAATGAAAAAATCTTAGAACTTTCAAGTTTTCCAGGAAGACCTGTCTCATTTTGTGTAGAGGGGCATGAGGGGGAACATAAAACATTTAGTAAACAAAACATAAAGCATCTTTAACATGAATAATCAGAATGGTTTTAAATTGTTTTGTTGTGACTATAAATCACTATAATCAGTGCAATCACTCAGCTCTGACATCCATTAGCCGCTTGGTTACAGCAAATTAACAAAGAAGAGAGAAAGTGATTCATTATCTCATTCCTGTTAATGACTATCAGATGCATTGCTTAATTAGGGGATGGCCATTGCAGTGGGAAGAAGGTCATATGCCTTTTCACAAATCTTTTTGCTCTGAGTTTAAGTCCTCCATGTGTTGAATACAAGTACTTTAAGAATAAGGTATTGATGCCTATCATCATTTTGTGAATATTAATTATTAAAGAGGGCTATAGTACTTACCGGTTGCCAAACTTAATATTTGTAACAGCATTTTAAATACAAAAAATACTTATTCAAATTGGTGCAAGCACCATGGTATGTGTGTATGTATGGCATATGGTTCATGACCTTTCTTACTATCATTAGTAAGCAAAGGTGGTTGGGAGAGCTTGCATTGGAAAGTGTTGATTTTTCCAATGCATTCTAAGCAAAGAATATGCAGCAGAGCAATTCAATAACTCTTAACATCTTGGCATGCAGCAGGCTGAAATTTATAGAAAAATTCATGGTTCCTATTTCTATAAATAACTGGGATGGCTGTGCTGAGTATATTTTCAGATTCTGATGCTAGACAATTCTTTGTATTGATACTCACTAATTCCTAGAGAGTAGTTTGCACAGTGACTGTTAGGATGACATGAAATGTTCTGTTTTTTTCTTAACATAATTCTACATAGCAAGAATATTTTGCAGATGATGGAGGAAGAAGCCAAGGATAACAATAAAACAAAAATACAGGAAAAGACATTTATGCAGAAGACACAACCTGGAATTATATTCCTCCTCACTTGCATGGTAGAAAATGATCCTGTGTCACATAGTTCTTACTTTAGGAAGCGGGCAAGGGAGCAACACTTAATTTCATAGCTAGGTCTGTTAAAGTAAAACAGACTATCTCAAAGTTAATATGACCTTATATCTCTGAACAGCTTGATTCATCCATGGCCAAAGTCTAACTGCTTAATCAAAATTATCACAAAAAAAAAGAAGTCATATAATCCAGCTTGATTTTGCTATGGAAATTGTGGAATCCCTAGCTTGGAATAATTATATTTAAATATTTGCTTGAAAAGGGAGAAATGGAGGCATGGTTTATGTTGCAGTAAATTTTTCATATAGATACATAGTAACTCCTTGCCCTGTGCTTTTTATCTTAGAGAGGAACCTGAAGCAATACCTTTTTTTTTTTTTTTTTTTTTTTTTTTTTTGGAGGTTACAGTTAAAAACAAAAGTATATAAATTCAAATACCATCTACTTCTTCATGATGAAAGAGGAACTAAAATTAAAATACGGTTGACAGCATAACTGTAGATTTCAGTTTGCATTTATTTCAAAAGCCAAAAGGAACTTGAGAAGTATAATAGGAATTCTAAAGATTATATCTAGAGGGTATTTTTCTTTTTGCCTTCGAGAAGCTGCAGGAATAATGTTGGTGTTAGAAATCTGTAAAGAAATAGGAAAAGGAGGAATTTCAAAGACCCTAGGAAACTTTTCCCTTAGGATTTATTAAACATGTTTTCATACCACTTTGGCATCCTTTATGCAAACAATAGAGAGTGGGAGAGAGGAACATTCTGCACTTTAGAAATATATTGTCAATGTTTGTATTCAAGAATCCAGATTATGCTTATAAAGTTTTTCATTTTCTTGTGTGTAAGTTTCCTAGTGGTTTATAGTGATTGCTATAGAAGGCTTAAAGGATTTTAAATATTTCTGATGCATAAGATCTTCTAATGTATTGCATTCTCTGTACAATTTTAGAAAAATGCTGATATGTCTTCAAGTATTTACTAAAACTATTACTCTGTCATTTTTATAAATAAACAAAGGATGACTGTATTCAGATTAAATTGCAAGATACAATGTTTTGCCTTCTTATCCCATTGAGAAGTACTTTTACAAATAAACTTCAGAATTGCCATGATACATTCCAACAAGTACTGATCTAACATTATGGGTAGTAAACATGACATGGAATACATCTGACAGTCTTAAGACGCTTAGCTAATAGTAGGGGTTTTCTCCTGGTGGAATTAGTAAGTAATATTCTAAAATATCTGGAAAATTGAAGGAATTTTTGCATATATGTGCGTATCTTGTGTTTTTTCATTTTCTGGAGATGTCTGAGAGCACTTGTTTTATAACTGATCTCTTCATAAGTGGGCCATTTCTTGTCCATCAAGGGAGGCCTACTGGAACAGTATTGCTTTCAATAAACAGTAAAGAGTGGTGTTGAAAAATAACATGATATGCTTTCTTATCTAGTGGCTGTGTTACTGCCTGGTCTATTTAACTTAGAGTTTTGTGGAAAAGTTCATTTTTTTCTGAAAAGCTTGTTAGTTAATAGTGTAACTAATGTCCTTGAAAAGTATACACATCTTTAGTATCATTTGCCCATAGTAGACATTCTCCTTCACCGAAAATTGTATGGAATAGTATTCTTAGGGTCAATTGTAAGTTCTACTCCCAGCATGTGTTTGGACAGTTAGGTTATGACTACAATTTTTGGATCTGGATAGTTCTGTTCTGCGCATAAATGTTTGAATTAAATTTTGGGTGGTTTTGGGTTTTTGTTGGGTTTTTTGTGGTTTTCTTTGTTTGGGTTTTTGGTTTTGGTGGGTTTGTTTTTGTTTTTTTTTTTGTTGTTTTGTTTTGTTTTGTAACAGTTCAGAGCATAATATCAGTATTTAAAAGGTAACAATGTAGAAGATGGAAACTCTTTTTTTACAAGGAGTCATAAGGAAAGGACAAAGGGCTAATGGGTACAAGTTACTCCTTCGGAGATTCCAGTTGGACACAAAAGGAAAATTTTTCACAATGTGAACAGTCAGCTATTGGAATAATTTCCCCAGGGAAGTGGTGGATTCCCCAGTATTCAATACATTTAAGCTTCAGTTGTACAGGATTCTCAGCCATCTTGCCTAGGCTGTTTTTGCCAAGAAAGTTTGGACCAGATGATCCTTGAGGTTATTCCAACCTCGAGTTCTATGATTCTATGATCAGACCTTAAAGGCTGGTAGGTTAAGAGAATAATGGTATACTCCAGAAGTAAATATATAGCCTGTACTGCTGGACATGTTCCTTTCCATAATAATTGCTGTATTACTGAAAAACATTTCTACTTTTCCATCCCAGCTTCAGAGAAATAAGCATGGAACTGGTTAGGGCATTTGGCCTAATGTTTATAACACTGAAATCTGATTTAGATGTCTCAGGTATAAAGCACTCAGAAAGATTATTTTAGCTGTCTAGTGGACTTGTCTGTAAGCGGGTTAATGATAGAAGCAGTAAGGATATGAAGAATATTAGAAGAGGTGGTAAAAATATGTTCAATAAAGTTAACCTAAAATCACAGAAATAATAGGATAATAGAGTTCAAAGTGGTTAAACAAACCTTCATGTAAATGGAAAAAGAAAACCAGTGTAATTTCCTCTTGATATGTAATTAAGCATCCCTCACTTCCAGGATCACCATCTACTCAGTTGTTCATAATTTCACAGTTTTTACAGCCATTCTAAACAGAGAGTGTTGAATATACAGAAAGGTGATTTTCAAGACGAAAACCTAAAACTTGGTGAAGCTGTTTAGTATCTACCCGTTTGTGATTCTGGGAATTCTCCTTGACAGTTTTATGGTGACACTGGCCTCAGACTTAGCGGGTGGCCTAAACACTGCAGTCCAGAACAATTATGTCCTGCTCTGTGTATTAATATGAGGATAAATTTCAGAAATGGACAACAAGACAAGGCAAATACTAGAGAATGGTAAAAGTCCTTTCCTTATTACTTCAGACTTGTAGCTTATCCTGGCCATTCAATCACACTGCTATGACTACAACATTTAGATTAATTCTTTGATACAAAAGGAATGTACAAATGAAGTGGTTTGGCATCTTCATGGTCAGTGCAGAGAAATATAATATTTGTGGGCAGAAATTCTGCTTTTTCTCAGTGTCTTTTATCAGCCCTAGATTTCTAATCTGCAGGCATCAGTATGATGCATGTACTCTAATATTAAAGCCAGCACACTGGTATTTTTTTCTGGTATCTTCCATTATTTAAAAATAGGCAATCTTGAATATTGTCAACAGAGCATGATTTCAGAATCTAGTGGCTTTACTTACATATCCACTTTGGAAACTGGATTTCTAGTGTACGCAACTGGGGTACTACATATGTTGTTGTAGTGGTCAGTGCTTTGAACTTGTCAAATGGTATGCGATACTGGCCTTCATTCTCTTCTCATTGACTTAGTTGCTTCTACTGAAGAGGCTGGAATAGCATATGCTAGAGGGATTATTTTATTTGTGTTGCTGAAGTTAAGTTACAGGGGACTTTTAAAAGTTCATATCTCAAACTGTATTAATTTAACTTACAGCCTCTCTCTGTCTTTCATATGCACAAACTCAAGATCAGACATATGCATTCCATCTTGTGACTCATGTTCTTAACATTGTGGAACAAAATGTCAACTAAATAGCCATTACTTCTTCATTAACAATTTGAAAGATAATGAAATTGAAATCACACTTCCACCTGTGGCATTTTACAGGTATATGGAAAGGATATTTCACCTGGTGATACACAGGCCCTCCTGCTCTATGGTTGTCTCATGGCTATATCA